AGTTTGAGACTTGCATACCAGAAAATGATGAGAATGAAATGGTGTCTCTGGATCTACTAGCTTCTTTTTTAATCCCCAAGCTTCTCCTTCCTTCACAAGCTTCAAACACACAAGATTCACTCAAAAATATCTCACAAGCTCATACAAAGCAATAGGGTTTCGTGATTTAGGGTTTGGGACTTGGAGGCTGGAAATGAGGCCAGCATGTGGGGATTAAGATGCTTAAATAGGGTGCAAAACCCCGAAATTAGGGTTTCACCCCTGCCAGCCTACTCGTGGAGTTGAGCGCTCTCAACTCGTCGAGTAGGTTACTTAAAACCCGCGTCTCTTCTGATCTCTACTCGACGAGTTTGGGGCTCCCAGCTCATCGAGTTGCTCTACAAAAATGAATAAATTATAATTTAAATGCATACCAGGAACCAGGCGTTACATTCTTAATGAGGTTGGTTTTTTTAAAATGCTTTGCGCTTACCTCCCTCACCTCCTTTTTGTATTTGAGAATGTAGTTACCGAAAGGGTTCGATCGGATTTTGTTTCAAGATTAAAAGTATTAAACAAGTAATAAAAACAAAATTCTCATTTATATATATATATATATATATATATATATATATATATATAATATATATATATATATATATATATATATATATATATAGGGAAGGGTTATTTGAAAACAAAAAAACCCTAAAAATCATAAAAATGCATAAAAAAATACCAAGACATCACAAAACTTTTTTTGAATTTTTTATCAAAAAATCGCAGCATTTTTACAATTTCGCTGAAAAAAAAAATAAAAAATCATTTTTTTTTTGTAAAAAAAAAAAAGTTTAAAATTGTTTTTCAGCCATTTTGACCTAAAAGTTGCGATTTTTTGATAAAAAAATTCAAAAAAAGTTTTGTGATCTCTAAGTATTTTTTTTATGCATTTTAATGATTTTTAGGGTTTTTTGTTTTCCATGGAACATATATATATATATATATATATATATATATATATATATATATATAATATATATATATATATATATATATAAACGTGAGTCATGTACTACCCAATAAAACACACATTTTATTTATATTATGATGATGGAGCATGAGTGGTTAATCGGCACGTCATTGCGAAAATATAAGTTAAAATGATGATTCACTCAGGAAATTATTCTGTTGATGGAGCGTGTGCGGTTAACTGCCATGTCAATGTGAGAATAATTTTATGTCAAGGGTCAAGCGGTTTTTCATGGTTGATTCACCATCTATTTAATGGTCCATGGTATCCCCATCATTAAATTTGAGATGAGCACAATCGAGGTTAACATGCCAATGAATCTCAAATGATCTAGGAGTTTCAAAAGTTTGAAAGTGGCAAGTTTCATTGCCTACCTAAATAACTTTGTTGTGTGTTTACAGATAAATTCAAGCTAACTAAAATCCTCTCATCTTGTAAATGACAAACGATAACAACAACAACAATCCTCCTCATCCTCCACCTCCTCTGCCTCCCTCAAACTCAAACTTCTCTCTCATGTCGATCCTATCTATGGAGAAACTCACAAGTCATAACTATTCGGATTGGATTTGCAATTTAAGGATTGCCTTATGGTACGAGGGCAAATAGTATGTCCTCGATGAGAATCTCCCTTACGTGGATGATGAGTCATCTGAAGAATATATAGCTACTTACAATAAACATGACGATGAATCTACAAAAGTTGCTTGCATAATGTTGGCGACCATGTCCTATGAGATTCAAAAGACTTTCCAGAGTCTTGGGGCATTTGATATAAACAAGAAACTCAAGGAAATGTTCCAAGAGCAAGCTCGACAAGAAAGGTTTGAGATCGTCAAATCCTTGATGTCTTGTAAGCATCAAGATGGGAATTTTATGTGTGCGCACACTCAGAAGATGAAGTCGTACATTGATAGATTAGGGAACTTGGTTGTCGAATTTCCATAGGAGTTAGCCATTGACATGGTCTTGAACCTACTTTCTAGTTCATATTATCAGTTCGTCATGAATTATAATACAAACAATCTCGACAAGATCCCCGTGGAGCTTCATGGCATGTTGAAAACAGTCAAAGCTATTTTGGTTAAAACCAAAAGCTCCAACCTTACTTCTCCTATCATGGCCATTAGGCATGGTGGTCATATTAAGAGTAAAACCAATGTTGGAGCGTCTAATCTAGGTCTTAAGAGAAAGGCCGATTATGAGATAGTACCTAATATCGACCTAAAGGAGGTCATTTGCTTTTACTGCCAAGAGAAAGGTCACTAGAGATGTAGCTGCCCTAAGTACCTAGAAGACGTGAAGAAAAACATAGACAAGAGTATTGACACTTCAAGTATTTTCATAATTGAACTCCACAGTGTGTCAACATCTAATTCTTGGGCTCTTGATACTGGATGTGGTACTCACATTTTCTCGGATTTGCAAGAACTAAAGGTAAGTCGAAAGTTGAAGTATGGGTAGCCGAAGTTAATCATGGGTAATAGAGGAACAACACATGTTACAAGGATCAGGACTTACAAGATCATGTTAAATAATGGTGTTTCTTTTAGTTTATTAAATTGTTGCTAGTCGCCAAATATGACACAAAACATTATTTCATTTAACGCATTGTACAAGGATGGATTTCGTTTTGATTTTTATAATGAAATTGGTAACATTTTGGTTTATAAAAATGGTTCTTTTATTTTCAAAGCTATTCCTTGTAATAGTGTTTATGAGAGTGTTGTTTGTGTAGGAAACATTAATAATCGAATGTTGAATGTTGGTTCTTCAAATTTTTTAGATAAATGATGGATGTGGCATTGTTGTCATGGGCATATAAATAAGAAACACATCACCAAACTCTAAAAGGATGGGATCTTGGAATCATTTGATTTGGATTCAAATGATGTATGTGAGTCTTGCTTACTTGGAAAGATGACAAAAATACCTTTCGCGGGAAACTGTGAACGAGGGAACGATTTGTTAGATGTAATACACACTGATGTATGTGGACCGTTCAAATCCACCACAAGGCATGGTAAACATTACTTTATGACTTTTACTGATGATTTTAGTAGATTTGGCTATATCTACTTAAAAAAACATAAGTCAGAAACTTTTGAAGCGTTCAAGGAATTCCAAAAGGAAGTTGAAAACCAATTGGGCAAGAAGATCAAGATGCTCTGACCCGATAGGGGTGTAGAATACTTGAGTCTATTAGAATATTACTTGCCTTAGAAGCTTTCTATTAGAATATTACTTGCCATACCAACTTTCTACGACTATGAAAATATGGCAAATGGATTTGAAGACTGCTTTCCTTAATGGGAAATTGGCAGAGGATGTCTACTTGGCACAACCCGAGGGATTCATTGATAAAAAATATCCCAATAGAATGTGTAAGATTGAGAGGTCTATTTATGGACTTAAACAAGCATCACGTAGTTGGAATCTTTGCTTTCAAGAAAAGGTCAAAGAGTTTGGATTTTCTAAAAGTTAGGATGAGTCTTGCGTATATGTCAAAGCCAGTGGGAGTAATGTGGTCTTCTTAGTATTGTATGTTGATTACATACTCCTTATAGGAAAAACGATATTCCAACCTTGCAGATTGTCAAAACTTGGCTAGGGAAATGTTTCCCTATGAAGGACCTAGACGAAGTTGCTTATATATAGGGCATTTGGATTTGTAGTGATAGATCTAAACCACTAATTGGACTGAGCCAACAATTGATACTTAGATAAGGTTTTGAAAAGATTCAAAATGCAAGATTCTAAGAAAGGGTGTCTACCCATGCCACATGACATAAAATTGAGTAAGGATCAATATCCCAAAACTAAAGAATTGGATTGAATGAGTTGAGTCCCATATGCTTCTGCTATAAGACCGATCATGTATGATATGAAATGTACTAGACCTGATATCTCATATGTTTTGAGCATGGTGAGTCAATATTATTGAGCAATTTGTATTTTATGACATTACATATGATATTTTTATGAATCATTTACAATTTGTATTCTAGTTGTGTATGAACGTAATTTTAATATTATTATGGTCTAATAAAAAATATAAATTTTGTCCAAAATAAAATATTAAGTATAAAATATTATATGTAGAGTTGTAAATGGTTCTAAATATGTAAACATGTCATATTCGCTCATTTTACATGTATAACCTAAGTTAAACACTGTTGACTTTGCAACCATAAAAACTAATTCAAACATTTTTAAAAAACTAATTTCCAATCCCACCATAAGTCATAGTTGGCCAAAAGTACTTATAGAGTTAAATAAGCAATCCCAAACACTCTCTTAAATTACTAAATCGCTATTGATACAAAACAATACGAAATAACTAATATCTTTTTGTAGTTAACTAAGAATAATCAATTGTAATTCTTCATATCATTATGTATAATATCTAATTATGGAAAAAATGCTAAATCAAAGTTAGAAGAGTATTCGATTATAAATAGTAATGATAATAAATTAAGAGGATAGAATGATGAGAAAAGTGGAAATGATATTTTATCAGTAGGAAATGACAAATGGTTTTTTTAGCAAGGGAAAGTGATTTATTAGGGTAATTAATTAGGATAGTTAAGTATCAAATTTTTATATATATAAAAAAACACCATTGAGGATTACTCTGTACAAAAAATATCAATGAACTAAAAGATTCATACAAAAAAATACCATTCAACTTCACATTTTGTTCTTATCTTACCTTGGTGGTAATCAATTATTTATTTTGGTTAGGATGTAAACGTTACTTGATTTATTCCCTTGATGTGTCGTAGCAAAAAAAATCTGAAAGTTTCTTCTAAACATAGTTGTTCACAACCTGTTACCTCCATCGATAAACCAATAAATTACGAATCCATAATCGACGACTGTGTTTGAGGGGGTTGCGCCAACATGTTCACAATTACTCTCATATTCCTCTTGATTTTCTCTCTAACAATCCCATCATCTTCTTCTAATTAACCACCCCAACCTCTAACCGATGTCTGCATCATCGACACCAACATCGTCGACTCATTTGTCACACACTTCCTTCATCAATACTCCTCAAGCGTATCCAAATCTGCATGTTCGAGCATCATCCTCTCTTACCGTCACCATCAACGGAGATACATTCGAAGTCGGTGCCTCAATTCTTCCCCAAAAACTACCACACCTTGAACTTCACCCATATGTTGAATCTCAAAGTCAGGGGCCTTCCAAACCTGAGACCTTCGTTGCAATCACCGTTCACCACCTGTTACCTCCACCGAACCAAGCCATCTCCACCGTTTCTGCCTTCACTATGAACCACACCACCACCATACTTACCAATTTTTGTCACCCCTTCCTTGTTTTGTTTTACCGAGAACCACATTCGGGTGATAGTTCTTTCTCGCTCGACATTTGGGACGGTCAAAAGTTCTTATTCAAAACTATTGATTCCAAACCTGAGACCTTCGCTACAATCGTCGTTCACCACCTGCTACCTCCACCAAACCAAGCCTATCTCTACCGTTTCCTCCTTCACTGTGAACCACACCACCACCGATTTAGCATATTTCATATCCACCTCCCCTATATTACCGAGAACCACAACCGAAGCCATAACTTTCGAAGCCACTAGCAGAACCAGAAACCACCACCCTTCTATCGCCGGAAACACTACCACCGTTCGACCACCTCTTTGAGCTCATGACCAAGAAAAAGAAAAGAAGAAGAAGATAAGCAATTGTTGATTTTTTTGGCTGCGAGGAATACACATCAAGGGAATAAATCAAGTTAGGCACATGATTTCTTATCTGGGCTCATTTAATTAAAGATGCAGTGAATAGTGAATCCATTACCGATAATGTTTACCTCCTAACCAGAATAACCGGGTACCATAAGGTAAGATAAGAACAAAAACTGAAGTTAGATGTTATTTTTTGTACAAATTTTTTAGTTAATTGGTATTTTTTTGTATATGGTAAACTTCAATGATATTTTTTTGTACAAATTTAAAACTTAATTACCCTTATAAATCATTTTCTTTTTAGCAAGTACGTGTTCCATTTTTAGGTGGAACTAAAATGTAGCAAAATAGTTTTATTTAAGTTGGATAAATCTTATGTATGTCCAATCTCATTGGTAGATGAATATCGTAGTCTTCTTTTATTTTCTTTGGTTCTTACTCATATGTTGGTACTAGGTTAAAACCCGTGGAACCCACGTGTGTTGATTTTCAATTGAATTTAAAAATGAATTATTTAATAAAATAATATTTCATTAATTTTGAAAACTTATGAATTGTAATATTGCATTTTTCAATAAAATTTTGATTTGTAAGTATTTAATTACAAACTAAATGGTAAGTATTTAATTAGAAATGGAGATTTTTGAAAACCCTTATTTTTGATGGATGATTCTTGTTGGACATATGCAGATGATGCATTACCAATGTGTGTAATGAAATTATCATAAAATACAACAATACGTAATTATAAATAAATAAAGTAATATGATGGATTAAGTGTGATTTGCTAAAAATGAATAAAATATGCTACAAAAAAGTTGGCTACAAATTTCGAAAAACTTCCTTATAAACAACATAGAAAGTTTTATTTGTGAGTTTGTCATTTTTATCTAAAATTAATAATTTTAATCATTCTCTGCTTTGAACTCTAGATAAGGCAACATACAATTGTCCATGTGAAAAAACTGAATCTTTCAGAAACAAACCAACCTTTAATAACGATTGTCCTTGACTTTTATTAATAGTCATTGCAAAACATACGGCCAAAGGAAACTGTCTTCTTGTGAATTTGAAGGGAATCTTTTTTTCTCATGGAGTTAAAGACATTCTTGGAATAAAAGTCTGGTTTCCAATATTAGTTCCAGTTATTATACGTGCCTCAATAACACGTTTGCCCAATGATAACACCTGTAGTCTTGTGCCATTACATAAGCCGTTTTTCTGATCAATATTTCTCAGTAACATTACTGGAACACCAATTTTTAAAACTAACTTATGATTTGGTAAACCGGATACTTTGAGACCATTTAATACATCAAGAGAGTATAAATTCACATCAAATTGATCATGGACAAATTCGGATTCACATATGCTGTCTGAACTTAAATATTCAACTTCATCTCCTGGAAACTTCTTAAGCAAACGGTCGTTTATTTCCTGGACAACTTCATTTTTTGGAGCAAGTATCGCTCTTTCTTGGAAATAATTTATATCGCTATAGTTCTCTAAAATTGAAGGATATACAAAACTCAATTAAGGAACCTATAGGATCATGTGAATCATTAATGAGAATATCATCCGGAATATCGATAATCGTTTCACCGTCGTTCGGACCATCAAGTTTGCCTTCTCCTATATCCAATAGCCAATTTGCAAAATCTCTTATTTTTCCTATATCAGGTTGATCCCTTCCAACAGTTAGCCTCATGTTTTTTGTTAATCTATGGACTTTGCAATGTTGCCATAAATATGAAGAACTCAAAGAAGCATTTACAATGTTCTGTCTACTGCCACCCGGAACAACAGGTAGAATCTGTCTAAAATCTCCTCCAAAGACAATAACTTTCCCTCCAAATGGAATATTTGAGATGGTTGAATTTCCGCACCTTAACAAATCCTTCAAAGTTCGATCTAAAGCTTCAAATGCATGCTTATGGACCATAAGTGCTTCATCCCAAATTATTAAAGAGGTTTTTCTTATTAAGCTAGCCAACTCACCGTCTGGATTTATTTTACAAAATGAATACTGCTATATATTTCGGTATGATTTTATTGGGTGCAGATTTTTTGGGATTTATTGACTGGATAATAATTAGCTTCCCATTATAATAAACAAACTTCCATATTTGCATTGGATTGGATATGAACGAATTTTAAATTTGAAATTAAGATTTCTGCATAATTATCTTTCCGTATACTTTTAGTTGTTGCAGATTTTTCGGATTTACTGATTGACTTTGACTGCATATGAATATGATCTGGAGGGCAGTTTCGTAAATGTAGATGAGGAAAATAAGCGGGAAAAAACGATTTAGGGCTACTGAGAGATTGACACGTGGACAAAATATACTTATTTATTAGGATAGGGATTCTGATTTATGTTTGTATCTATTTCTTTAGCCCATATTGACTTATTCTTCTCTTGTTTTCCTCATTTGCAGGTTCTCAGATTCACATACATATACTTTCGATTACTCTTGCTTATGTATGTTCACTTCGACTCACCCCCATTCCATATTTTGACTCATTTTGCATGTACTTATTTTCATACATGCTGAAAACCTATATGTCAATCATTTTTATTGAATACATGACTGGCGATAATTTACTCCATTTTAAGGTGATCCCAAGTAGGGGTGACAAATCGGGTAGTTGTGACATATTTTTAGTGGACACGTCACGACACAATAACTTTTATATGACACGAACACAACACGACACAATGTCGTGTTTTGTTTTACTAACACGAAAACGACTCAATTAAAACACGATACAAACGATCAACACAACAAACGCGAAAAGATAATACAAAGTAAACCCTTTAATTTATTTAATTCAAAATTAATGTTACAAAACATGGCAAACACGAAAAACACAACAAACAAATGTTAATATAGTGTCAATTTCGTGTGGCATCTTGAAAACAATAACGACACGACATGACGTCATATTTTTTTTTACTTGACTTGTATACGACACGAACAAAAATCCAATTCAATTTTTATCGTATCATATAACTGATTTATCACCCGTAATCTCCTAATTATAAGCTTTGCATTGTAACTAAACATAAAGTCATCAAAATAAATCACTTAAATTTTTACGTCTAGTTCCGAGTTTAAGAAAAGAAAGTCAGGAGATAAAAGAAAAATAAATAAAGAACAAGAAAATTTTCTTTTGAAGGGTAGTAGAAGTAGAATAAAAATTAATCATTTTGTTCTTTCTAAAATTATCCTTTTATTTTCCATAATTTATTTTCTTCCTTGTTTTAATGAAACTTTGTAAACACCAATTTATTTTATTTTATTTTTTAGTTTTTATTTTTATTTTTATTTTTGAACTCAGGAACATGGGTGTTATAGTAAAAAGTAAAAGGGTAAATTACACCATTGGTCCCTCGTGCACATGCCAGAAAGCGTGTTTAGTCCCTATTTTTAAAAATTAACTCGGACCGTCCCTCGTATCATTAAAAGGTGCACGTTACGTCCCTCGCGGACATAAAATGACTATCTTGCCCTTTTCTTTTTCTTTTTCATTAATTTTTTAATTGTTTATAACTTATCTATTGTTTTTTTTATAATTATTATTTTTAGAAAATGAAACATCCCTTAAAAAGGAGTTCAAACCTTTTGG